GCTGACGATACAGAGGCGGATGTCTCCGTCGCCCTGGAACCATTTGAGGAGAAAAGTGGATTTGAAGCAGCGGCTGGGCACAAAAAGCGCCTGCATGAAGCCTTCGAAGAAGGTGCTCCGGTCATCCGGCGCCACAAGCTGTGCCAAGAGGAGGATGCAGGTTGTCCGGTGCACAAAGGCGCTGCTCATGATCCTCCCGGCGCCCTCCACCAACCGGTCGAAGGCCGCATTGGTGACCTGGACCAGCCGCTCCCCCGCCAGCAGACCCAAAAACGTGGGCACGCTCTCGTCCTGCGTCCGTGCCAGGATTTTGTAGTCCGGCATGGTCCTCACCTCGTCCACCAGCCTCACCAGGATCGCCACCTCCTCCTGGGCCCGGCCCTTCCGTCGACTTCGGGTCGGCCCCAGGGCGACTGAGGCGGTGTCCTCCACGTCCACCGCCGAGATGCCCATGGACCTCCCCACTTTGTCCGCCATGCCCCAGGTGACGTCGCCGCCGACCAGGACGCTCAAATGCTGCCAGATGCGCATGCACTCGATCACCCGCCGTCGGTCGATTCCCTCACTCCCAAACTCGCGCCGCACTTTATAGAAACACATGACGTATTCTGCGCTGAGACGCTGAGGGTTGTGGCGCGCCAGCGCCAACTCTGTCAAGGACAGGCGCAGAAGCTGCTGTCGCCTCGGACTTCGACGAAACTCCGCATGCTCTGTTCCTTCCACGGAACTCCCTGTGGAGTCCGACGCGAGCGACGCGTCGGACTCCGCGGCTCCCAGGGCACCATCAGCAGCTGCTTCTGACACCTTTCGAGAACGTTTTCTATTGGAACACGATGATGATGATTTAGGAGGCTGTGGATGGCAAGGCAACGACAACCGGCAACACCTGTGTAGTGCAGAAGAGCTGTAAGTCAAGCATTCGTATACTTCAACCGAGGGGGCGCTTCATCAACATGATGAAACCAACGTACCTTGCGCAAGGATAACCGGAACAGGCCGTCTACACAGTATAAGGTTGAATTTAGGGTGAGGTTGTGCGATAATCGGGTTTTTCGTGTTTTTATTAACATAAAAGAAGCTCTTTAAAACGCCGGTGCAAGGGGGTATAACCCATCACGTACCTTGATGTCCCTACAGACAGTACAAACAGTGCTGACCTCCCGAAGTGCAATTTTGATGCGATTTCTTTCCTGAATTAAGTCCACCATTGGTGGCGTAGACATAATTTTCGCACCGCTGTGTTGGAAAAAAATCAGTTTTTAGGGACCTCTGTATCGCTCGTTCTCTTCTGCATGACGTGCTCAGCTATTCGGACGAGGTGGGCTCAAGTTCTTTTTCTGGGAGCGTCAACTGAACAACGTCTTCTCCCACGCATCGTACGCATCAAATCATGGGCATGAATGCTATGTGTCGGTCGTCAAAAATGGCCGTGGAATCTGACATTGGAACTATGGACGCGCCGAGTCCATCGCATGTGCCCAAAACCATATGGTAAAAGCCAGATGACCCCCCCCGGTCCTGTCTCGCCTCGAGCGAAAAGGATATTGAAGTCCTTTTCGCATAGAAGAATGGACGCAGTGGCAGGACAGAGGGTATGGAGTGTTCTTAGCTGCAAATTAGCGGCTGTTTGGGTTTCACGGGCGGTGGGGGACGCATTTATCGCAATGGCGTGCGCGTGAAAGAATAGAGCGACGGATATGGCCCGTACTCAAGAAGTATCATTTTTAAAAATAGCGAGAAAAGAAATCGAAAGGAGCGCAAATATAGAAGTGGACACTTTCACATTGTTTTTGACTAGGTTGCGTAGTGATCACTCTGAAATTTCATGATTGTTTCCCGTCAGTATCGTCGACACATACGCTGAAAGAGCGTATGGAATGCGATAAAAGTGGCATTAATATTATCCACAAGCGAGACTCTTGCACCGGTGTGGGCGTCCGACAGACGTACGTCCATGCTCGCTTTGAAACATTGCCATACCTCACAGACCATGAGAATTTGAAGCTCATACATGCAGACTAGATGAAAACCCAATGCCCTGTGCGGACATTTTGGGTTGCGCGTGCATCGAAGTAGAGTGGACTCGACGTTTTTTATCGGGCATGGTGGTTGACGTCATCGCGCAGCGCCCGCGCTCGTTCGGAGGCGGGTAGCGAGCGATAGCGCCCCGTCACTTTTAGGAATGGACGATGCCATTTCATCATTAAAGCTTTTGATTGAAATGATGGGTTGTGGTATAACCGTTTTAGTATTGAGGCGAAAAGCGCATAAAGTTTTTGGTCCGTACTTAAAGCGTGCGTTATTTTTTTCCAGCCCTGCGACGATATGACCGGTCGCCGGTCGGCTTGTAATGTGTAGGCAATCAATAAAAAGTGTCAATGACTTAAAAGAGGGGAAGAAATCGTGTTTCTTACAGTCTAAGTGACATACACCTGTCTGGAGCTATCTGAGGTATCGATAGATCTCCATGGTTGTCTTAAACATGGCCGAACCTACAAAATATAGGGGAATTAGGAATTGTTTGGTTTCGTAGCACAAGCTATGTAAGACTTTTTTTTTAAAAAAATCCTAAACCATGAGGGTCCCGACAAGGTACAATGCTATTTCTTTCCTTTGTGGTTTCCAGTCGTGGTGATGTACCACGTGGCCCCAATCTTGCTGACAGCCTAATCAAGTTGTACCATCGCGCTCTCCGCGCAAAGGCCAAAGGTTTCCCTCCCCTCCCTCCCCGCCATTCGCGCCGCGGCCGACCAGGCAGTGAAGACACCTCGCATGACTAACCCTAGTGGCCGTCGGGCATAAAAAGTCACCACGTGACACCGCAAGATCGACACGTGTTACCATCTACGCGCGCTTTCATATTAATTTCTCACTGACATGAATATCTTTGCGGGAATTCAACAGAGCTTGTCCGAACCCGACATCTGCAATCAAGGAACTGCAACTCGCCGTCCCCGGGACCATGAAAAACATCCAACGTTGCCTTTCTATTGCCGTGCTTTATTGCATGATACTGATCAGCCCCACACTGGCATTTTTGCCGCCGTTGTCCACTGCCTCGAGCAAGTTCCGTGTGGCTAGCAGCCATCGAGCCCCTCGTAGTAAGTCCTCAAGGTTTCGCTTCCCCTCTCGCTGCAACGTTTTCACGTTTTGACAGCATCACTCACGTCTCCAATCCTACGTCAAACTACTCAGCAACTTCTTTAAAAGCTGCCTCTTTCTCCGATGTTTGCCTTTCGGTGGCCGCGGCGGCTGATGAGTATGAGTACGGCGCCGTCGCCGCCCCTGGTAGGTGTGAAAGAGCTTTCCTTCCTCGTCCTCCCGTTGCCTCACACTCCTCCCTCCTTTCCGACGTACTGCACAGGATGGGTGCTTCCTGTGGGTGCGCTTTTGACACTAGGTTTAGCGGTAAGTACCTCTGTTTCAAAGCACGGGGTATCCCTTCCTTCCCCCCTGAAATGCCTTTGGAGCTGTCCTTGCGGCGGCTAGAAGAAGGCTGATGCCCGATGCACGAATAAGTCATGGATGCTA